AATATTTTTTGTATATCTTCATACAATTTGGCAAGCTCTCGGTATTCGAACAATGTCCATGAGTATATAGAGTCAGAGTTTTGACTTCTCCGAGTGCTAAGTGAATTTCATGTTAAGATGAAAAATACTTTTCTTTACTTGAAAGCTGTGAAAATTTTATTTGCATAATCTCTAAAACCTCATAAATAAATATAAAATGTTTTTTTATCTGTTATTTTCTCTACTTTAACTCTATACCCAGTTGGTCAATTTGGCTGACCTTGTACCCCACCATAAAAAATACGAAATAAATCTATATTCCTTTTTTTTTCTTTCTAGAATGACTGCAAAAATTGTAACAGAATACAACAATTGTTTATATAGCTTAATACTCATAACAGTATACTTCTGTTTATACTTAATTTTATCATTTTATTACCCATTGAACCATGTCTAACTGATAACCCCATCACAAAAGTTGTAAATCACTTGGCAAACTTGTAGCTCATGCTACCATAGTGAATGTTGCAACATACACAACCTGCTTCAAAGAATACTTCATGAAGAATTTTTATTATCTTTTTCAATCTAACCTAGTAAGTTCCTAATTTTTATATTTTAGATACTTTTCTAATTATGAGCAGAGTATACATGAGAAGAAATATATTGCTTACATGTGATCTCTTGTTTTTTTGCTATTGGTTGCTGATGAAACTTAAGCCTACTTTTTATAATAATTGTACTAGTACAATAAGTAATTTGTTTTTACTTAAATAATGCACCTAAGAATACAGAATAATAACACACAAAAAGCAAAAACTTTCTTATAACTATCATAATTTATCTGGTTTTCTAACTATGGTATAACAACCTTTAAAAATAAGCTTGTCGAACTTAACACCACGAGAGAAACTTTCAAACTGAAGATGAAATAAACAATACTCTGTACTAAAAACAATGTAATATAGTATGTCATTTGATAGGTTAAAACTTTGGCTCTCTGTTTGTTGTAAATGATATGTTATAAAATGTCAGAGAGAACTACTGGCAATTTGTGAAAGAAAGGATGTGACAGGTGGGCATGAACTTACTTAAGGAGAAAGCATCCATACAAACTAAGAACTTTACAAAAACACATTAGTTTTCAATTAGAAGAAAGCACCCACACCCTGAGAAAATGAGAACTTTAAGAAAACTACTTAACTTGCATAAGGAGAAAAAATACACGCTGTGGCAAACTGACAACTTTGCAAAAATACATGAACTTACCTTACAAGAATTATTCTATACTTGTGATAAACTGAGATCTTTACAAAAATACATTAATTTCATTAGAGAAAACATCCATACCCTGAGAAAGTGAGAACTTTAAGAAAACACCTTTACTTACATTTGGAGAAAGCATTAATACCATGACAAATGGAAAACTTTACAAAATATACATTAACTGTTTTATTACTAACTGACAATTTTACAAAAAAACATTAAAACCTTATATTAATTCACATTGTATGTTTGTTTGTCTGCATACTTCTTAGTTTTGGCACAAGCAAAACCAAAGTTGGCATGTGGACTGTGGGTGGCCCAGGGGTTAATTCTAATGTATATAGTGAAGTCCTCCTATTTATGGGGGCCGAAATTCATCCAGAAGGTCTTGCAGGAAGTTTCCAGTTTTGCTGAATGAGAATCTGGCATCAGATGTTGTGTTTCTGAACCACTTTTGTTTGAAACTGTTTATACCCTTCACACAAGCTCATTGGATGAAGCTCAGTGTGTGTGCTCGGGTATTATGGTGGATATCTTAACTCTTTCAGC